TTGTGTAGCCATACAAATTTTAAGATTTTTTGTTCTAGTTCTGTGAAAAATGCCATTGGTAATTTGATAGGGATTGCATTGAATCTGTAGATTGCCTTGGGTAGTATTGTCACTTTGACAATATTGATTCTTCTAGTCCAAGAACATGGTATATCTCTCCATTTGTTTGTGTCATCTTTCATTTCTTTCATCAGTACCTTGTAGTTTTCTGAATACAGGTCTTTTGCCTCCATAGGTAGGTTTATTACTAAGTATCTTATTCTTTTTGATGTGATGGTAAATGGGATTGTCTCCTTAATTTATCTTTCTGATCTTTCGTTGTTAACATATAGGAATGCAAGAGATTTCTGTGTATTAATCTTGTATCCTGCGACTGTACTAAATTCATTGATGAGCTCTAGTGGTATTCTGGTAGCATCTTTAGGATTTTCCTTTTTGTTTTAACTTTGTATTTTATATTGGAGTATCGCTGACTAACAATATTATGATCAGGTTTACAGCAAAGTGATTCAGTTATACATATACATGTATCTTTTCTTTTTCAAATTCTATACAAGAATAATGCTTATCCTCTCTTTATAATTTGAAGATATATCCCTACTGTCTTCTACATCCCATTCTTTGACTCCTGTCCAGAGTAGTTCTGCCTCCCCCACCCCCATTTTTGCTCTTTGCTCAGGGATTCTTACTCTAGTTTCAATCAAGGGACTTTGGTTAGTTGGTTATTTTTTGGTTGAGAGTGTGGTACCCTTGGAAATTTCCTTTCTTTAGAGTCCTGTATTGTACTTTAACATATATTTTCTAAGCAATCTAGTTGGGAGCGCCCTTTGATATTTTTGGTTGTCCATACTGCCAGATGCCAATGCCAATTCTTTCATTTTATCATAATGTTAATCGTTACTCACCTAGAAAGAAGAGTACCTCCTAACCTGTCCACCTTAATTTCATTTTTTCCAATTTCAATTAATCATATATATGGTTGCCAAATTGACAGTGGACATATTAGACATGCTCTGTGGTTGTCACTGCCTTGACATGGTCTGCTCCCTAGTTGCTGGAGTAGAGTCCCCCAGAGCCGTTTCTTACCTGTGTTCTGATCTGTGGTGTGAGGTAGGTGGGATTGGAGCACTCCCACTGGGAGAGAAGCCACTGAGTATTCCTCCTCTGGAGCTGCTCACCTGGGTGTGCTCTGTTGTGTCACCTTTCACCCGTTGTGTGAGCTCTCAGATTACACGGTTGTTGGCACTGCTCTTGGTCGCACCTTAACTGTGGGTATGCGGGCAATTGGCCCTGTTGTCTCTCAGTTGTTGTTTTCACCAGGGCACCAGCATAGATCCACTGTTCTTGTGGGTTTTTTTAATACTTCTTGAATTTTTTTCTTTTTCAATTCACTCAGCCGCAACCCCACTCTACCTATACTGCTATTCGAGTAATTTATACAATCTTTTAGTGGTTATTATTTGAAATCTGACTATGCATAGTTACCAAAATCAAACAATTATTATCTTCAACAGTACAAAAAGCAAAGACCTTAGCACTTGATTTACATGATATATGTAATTAGTATTTTCTGATCTTAAAAATATCAGACCATTTGTGTGTGTTGCTGTATGTCTGTGTGTATTTAACTGTATATTAACCAAATCTTTTTTTTTGAAGCCATTCCTTCTTGCTTCTAAAACCTTCCTTCTGGGATCATTTTCCTTTTTCCTGAGTTATGTTCCCTAGAAGTCCCTTTATTGAAGATCTGTTCAATGCTTTCAGTTTTTGTACATCTGAAAGTGTCTTTATTTTTCTCTAATTGTTGAAAGAAAATTCCACTGTCATATTATACAAGAGTAATGCTTATTTTCTCTCTATAATTTGAAAGTATATCCCTAATGTCCTCTACATCCCATTGTTGCCATTGAGAAGTCTGGTGTCAGTCTGTATCAGTAGTTACTTTGTAGGTGATCTGTCTTCTCTCTGGCAGTTAATATCTTTTTATTTTTGGAGTTCTGCAATTCCATTACAGATGTCCATAATTATAGATTCTTTTCAATTTATCCTGCTTGATATATATTGTCCCTCTTGTGTTTATTGATTCATATCATTTATCAGCTTTGGAAAATTCTCAGCCTTTAACTTAATTACCTGATTAGACATGTTAGACTTTTCCATGTTCTCTGTATTGCTAATCTCTCTTTATATTTATTTCTCTGTACATTTTCTATAATTCCTTACTTATGCCTCTTTTACTTCACTAATTCTCTCTTTGTGACAAATTATTTAACTCCAGTTCAGGTTTTCATTTCCAAAAGTTCTATTTTATTTCTTAAAAAATCTACCTGGTAATTTTTTTTATTATATCCTGTTGTATGCTTATTTTCATGGTTCCATAATTATTTCTTTTAAAATCTTATGCTGAATTATTTTATATTCTAACTTTAATAATTCAGTGATCTGAAATCCCTGAAGAAGTAAATCTGTTGTTTATTTTCTAATTTTCCATCACAGTAGCTTGTTTTCTTTTGTATTCAGTGATCTTTCATTGTGAACTCATACTTGTTTTATTTTAATTTATGGCAGTCCTGATGGCTTCTATCAAAAGTGCTTTAATCCAGACATGAATTTTCTTTTTATTTTTTCTACCAAAGTTAGGGGCACTAATAACCTGGGATCATTTTAGCCCATGTCTTAATCAAAAGTCTCAGGCTTAGCCCCTTTACCTTGAGACTTGTTCAGGGCTCAGTCTACTGAGGGTGATGACCCAGAGTAGTTCTGCCTTTTTTCCCCCCATTTTTGCTCTCTGCTCAGGGATCCTTACTGTAGTTTCAATCAAGGGACTTCGGTTAGTTGGTTATTTTTTTTACTGAGAGTGTGGTACCCTTGGAAATTTCCCTTTTTTTAGAGTCCTGTGTTGTACTTTAACATATATTTCATAAGCAATCTAGTTGGGGAGCGCTCTTTGATATTTTTGGTTGAACATACTGCCAGACGCCAATGCCAACTCTTTCATTTTATCATAATGTTAATCATTACCTCTCACCTAGAATGAAGAGTACCTCCTGACCTGTCCACCTTAATTTCATATTTCCCAATTTCAATTAATCATATATATGGTTGCCAAATTTATGTATCAGTGGACATATTAGACATGTTAAATTTGAGTTTCCTGGAAATAAAGAGTTTGGAGCTCAGGAAATAAATGGATTCTAGAGATTTATGGGTCATTGATATAATTATCAATGCCATAGGAGCGGGTAAGGTTACTGGGGAAAACTTCATGGAGTAGGCAAAGAAAAATTAACTTAAAAAGGAGACTAAGAAGATGAATTCTAAGAATTGAGAAAACAAAGAATGAATCTCCAAATGCAAGGAAAGAGAGGGTTTCAAGGAGGGGAAGTTAATAGGGTCAGATATGGCCAAAAGGGCACACAAGATAAGAACTTATCTTTAAGTCTGGATAATTTATTACTGTTAGAAAAGTTTCATTGGAGTGGCAACAAATGCAAGATGGCAGTGAATGTATGGAAGAGTAGTACAACTTGCTGATCCTCTGTCTTCTTCCTCATTACATCCCATTTCCACTGTATATATAATGAATCATTCAGCTTCCTGGAACAAAAATAAACACAATTTTCTTCTGATCTTCCATAGTTTAAAGGGATTCAAGCAAATACTGGAGATGCTAGTAAGTAGAGCCAGGGAGGAGATGTGATAACAGTAATCAAACACAGCATGGAAATTGTGAAGTGTTTCAGGTTCTGGACCTACCAGCTCATATGGAATAATCATAAGCCTTGTGTGTTTGAATTTTAATTATATTAGCTATTTCACTAATAAATGTATGTACTCTGTCAATAATAATTTATATTCTACATTTCTGACACGTTTTATTTGAAATCTATATTTTTTTAAAATAAATTATTTATTTTTGACTGCATTGGGTCTTCATTGTTGCATGAGGGCTTTTCTCTAGTTGTGGCACGCAGGGGCTACTCTTCGTTGTAGTGTGCAGGCTTCTCATTGTGGTGGCTTCTCTTGTTGTGGCACATCATTATATTTTATACCATTTTATTTCACAACATAAAACAGAGAACAACTTGGTTATTTATGTTCTTGTTTCTTGAGTCAGAAAGACTGACAGTTATATGTAAGTCTCAACATTTAGACAAAATAAAGATGAACTTTCATTCCAAAATCCTGTGCAAATTGTACGTTCGTGACATGCTTTTCTCTCAGGATTTTAAAATGTCTACAGAGGTAATTAATTTAAACTGAAGTTTGTTCTCATGTATTTTAGCCTAAAATTAAACTTTCACAAAGAAAATTCTCAGTTTTACCTCAAGGAAAGATAGGATAAAAGAATAGAAAAGTAGTATCTTAAAAAAATACTTATCCGAAAAAGAGGGGATATTTGTATACGTATGGCTGATTCACTTTGCTGTACATACAGCAGAAACTGACACGGCAGTGTAAAGCAACTATACTCCCAGAAAAAAAAATCTTAGAAACTATTTATTATTTTCATTTACAACAGAGGAGAACGTATTTTTTCCAAACTCACAAATATGAAAGTTTTGTAATAATGCAACATTTGACTTCTTAACTTTTACCTAAGAAACATGAAAGTATAATTATATGATTAATTGCTCTTATCCTGCTATATTCTCCATATCCCCATACTTTTCTCTTACATAACAAAACACAACAAAGTAAAATATAATGAGAAACATTATTTCCTAAGCTATCATTTCTCTACATTCAGCAGCACCTAATCTGGTTATGTTTATCTTTGAAAGTTGCACTGAACACCTCCACAGGGCTGTGTGCCTCAGCTCCTCCTAAGTACTATAAGAGTTCACATAGGGAAGATCCCAGAAGGCAAAGTCCCTCCTGTTTGAGAATATTTTTCGTATCAGAACAAAAACAGTAACACATAAGTAAATTAAACAAACTGATCTCTCCTCTTCTGTAGTTTTGTTCACAACATATAACATTTCTTTTCTACCTTATAGGTACCAGAGATTTGAAAAGGCATTTCTGTTAGCTGTTGACATTGGTGCTCGTGACCTGTTTATGGTGAGTCATTCCCAGAGATGATTTTGTGCCTTCAGTTCTAAGGCTGAGTAAGTTGTCAGCTTTTGTGACCATTAAAAAGGATTAGTGTCATTTGTGCCTTCGACACATGGTGGGAAAGTATTATTCCATCCTGGCTTGCAGCTCTGCCTTCATGAAACTGGTCAATAGCCATCTAGTCTCTTTTGACTTGTTGACATTTTCCTTGCCAGACCCAAAGGGTTTTTTAGTTTTCTAAGAATTTATAATTCTTGAACATTTCTCCTCAGGTACGTTGATGTGAGGGGATGACACCTTTGTTATCTAACAAGCTTAAATGTCTTTCTAATCCATTCTCTAAAGAAGTACAGCTTCAGAAACCAGGACATAGGGCAAAACATGTCCCCAAATCTTGAATGTGCTCAGTTTGTCCCTTCGATTTTAGTGAGAAGTAACATATTATGAATGTTCTCACTTGTATTTTTAAAGTATTCACAGTGCAAAGTGGATCCAAGAGGATATAAATTCAAATATGCTTTAATCCTCCATTTATTAGCTACGGAACAGTAAAACCAACCAGTTTCTTACAGATCTTTGTGCTCTGTATCAGGTTCTTATTTTATAAGATCTTTCACCACAGCGTCCATTGAGATCAGATAAACAAAGGTGGGGTTCCTGGTTTTCCAGCATATTGTGCTCCACAGAGATTTCACTGTTGTCAATGAAACAACGAAGCAAAAGCTTCTTGAAAAAAACAAAAACTTCTGGAAGGCTCTTTTACCTGAATTTACTGCACAAATGAAGACATTTTGTAGTTTAAATTAAGCTTTGATGCTTTAGATGTTAATATGGGTTCATGACTTTGGAATGAATTTGTTATTTAAATTCTAATTTTGCATCATTCAGTTAAATTGTGCTTTCATTGATCATACTTCACATGTATGCGCCTTTTGTTGGTCATCTGTATTTTATTAGGTCATTGATCAGGCATATTAGTATATGAAGGGAACATTTTATTATTTTCACCAAAGTCTATGCATGCAGACATCACAGTGTCAGAAATTTAATTACAACACCTTTTAGATTTTCTGACCCCAATGACTTTCACTCTTTATCTCCACCTTCTCACCTCTGACACTACTCACAAGTAAAGGTAGATTTTCTTCATATTTCTTTATTTTTTTTATGTCTATAGTCCCAGTCTTTTTTCTAGCGAAGAAAAGAACTGAAGAGATGAGTATTTAAATATTTAGTGTCTGGTAAACTTTCTTTCTCAATGTATTATTATATTGCTCTGTAATTTTTGCTTCTTTGGCTATTAATTAATAAATAATCATCAAAGCCATCTTATAAATTTTTTTCAAATCATATCTGTTTCAGCATTTAGTCTCAGTTAGGCAGTAACAATATAAAGAAAGTCTCCATGTTAGTTTAAAGCCAACTAGGCTTTCTGCTGATAGGCTAACCCTAACCCTAACCCATAAGGATATTTACTAGTAAAAGGTAAAAACCTAAAATAAGGGAATGAGAGAAATAGTTTTACTTTCCTTTTTATTTGTAAAAGTGAACAATCAAAATGCTACATCCTCATTCTTCCTATGTAACTTTGCTTATTTATAGCCCAAGATTTGCCTTAAGGAAGCATTAAGAGCCTTAAGAGAGCATTAAGTCCTTAAACAAAGCTCCATTTAAGCTCATGATTCTACTATATACATTTGAAGCTCCATATTGAAATTGTCTAAAGAATTTATCATGTTTTCTAATAGATCACATATTAGTATTTAAATTATCATCTAGCCTATATACTGAGAAATATTACCTCTTTGAATTTAAAAGTTTTTAAAATAGGATTATTCCTACATGTAAATTATCTTCTCTCACCAAGATATCTCTTCCTTAAAGAATAAAAATATGACCACATTGAATGCAAAGGGGTCACCAAAAAAGCATAATGGTTAACCTGAGAATATTCTTTTTGCATTAGCATCTATCAGAGATAGAAGGATAAAAGACATATAGCATGATATCAATAGGCCTTGAATATTAAAAAGTCAGTATGTGGGTACTGGACCTGAGGAAATGGGCCAGAAAGGACCTCTTTGTCTGCTTTACACTGTAGCCTAAGTGAACATCTTCTAAAATTAGGGTCAGCAACCTATGGCCTGCCAGCCAAATCTAGCCCCAAAATGGCTTTTTACAGTTTTAAATTGCTGAAAAAAATCAAAAGAAAAATAGTATCAAAACACTTTAAAATATATGATATTAAAAATACATGATAGTGAAATTCAAATTTCAGTGTCCATAAGTGAAATGTTACTGGAACACAGCCAAACTGATTTATGTAATGTGTATGACTGCTTTACTCTATGATGGTAGAGTTGAGTGGTTGCAAGAGACTATATAGCTTGTAAAGCCTAAAATATTTCTATCTGGTGTTTTACAAAAAAAGTTTGCAGACCCCTTGTCAAAAAAATCATAATTTATAATTTCACTCCTCTATTTAAAACCCTTTAGCAGCTTCTCGTCACCTTTGGGATAAATTCTAACTCCTTAATATGGCTAAGGTCCCTCCATTCTCATCTCTCTGCTTTCCAGCTACATCAGCTTTCTTTCAGTTCTGGGAAATGTACTCTACTCCTTATTATATCCAGACCATGTTAAGGAGTTTGGGTTTATCCTTACCCCAAATCAGCAAGGTGTAATGGGAAGGTGTAATGGTAGATACATGGAATTTGGGTCATAAGTTGTCTTCAAGATCAGTAACTTTTGAGTTTTTTAAAATGTATATAAATGACGATAATAATATAGTACCTACCCATAGGTTGGGTTTTTTAATTGAATAAAAGCATCTTTGAATTCTGTAGTGCTTTATAATATTTAAGTTTCACACAGATGATTTCATGTAATCCTATAATAACCCTTTGTTTCCCTTCACTCCTATATCGCCCCTCCCTATTTCCCTCTCCCCACTGGTAACCACTAGTTTGTTCTCTATAAGTCTGCTTCTTTTTTATTATATTCACTAGTTTGTTGTATTTTTTAGATTCCACATATAAATGATATCATACAGAATTTGTCTTTCTCTGACTTATTTCACTTAGCATAATGTCCTCCAAGTCCATCCATATTGCTGCAAATGGCAAAGTTTCATTCTTATTTATGGCTGAGTAGTATTCCAAGGTATATATATAAGACACCTTCTTTATCCATTCAACTGTTGATGGAAACTTAGGTAGCTTCCATACCTTGGCAATTATAAATAATGCTGCTATGAACATTAAGGTGCATGTATCTTCTTTGACTTAGTGGTTTTGGGTTTTTTTTCGGATATATATCCAGGAGTGGAATTGCTGGTAGTTCTATTCTAAGTTTTTTGAGGAAACCCCATACTGTTTTTCACAGTGGCTGTACCAATTTATGTTCTCAACAACAGTGTATGATGGTTCCCTTTTCTCCACATCCTCACCAACATATGTTGTGGTCTTTTTGATGATAGCCATTCTGACGGGTGTGAGGTGGTATCTCATTGTGGTTTTGATTTGCATTTCCCTGATGATTAGTGATGTTGAGCATCTTTTCATGTGCCTGTTGGCCAACTGCATGTCCTCATTTGAAAAAACTGGCTATTCAGTTCTGCCCATTTTGTAATTAGGTTGTTTGTTTTTTTTGATGTTGAGTTGTATGAGCTTTTTATATATTATGAATATTAACCCCTTATTGGTCACATCATTTGCAAATATTTTCTCCCATTTAGTAGGTTGTCTTTTCACTTTTGTGGATGGTTTCGTTTGCTGTGCAAAAGCTTTTAAGTTTAATTAGGTCTCACTTGTTTATTTTTGCTTTTGTTTCCTTTCCTTTTAGGAGATGGATCCAAAAATATATTGCCATGATTTAAGTATTCTGCCTGTTTTCCTCTAGGAGTTTTATAGTATCTGGTCTCACATTTATGTCTTTAATCCCTTTTGAGATTGTTTTTGAATCTTAATGGAGATACTGTATTGGAAGTACTTTGTAAACTAGGAAGTACTAAACAGATATTATGTGTCATTACTATTAAGAGAGAGCAACAGTTGTTTTTACATGCCAGTTGCAAGAAATAATGAAGACCTGAAACGGCCTGAATTACATGAATATAAAAGAGAAGATATTTTGTAAGCAAAATCAATATGATTCAGTAAGCCCTTAGATGAAAATGAACTATTTAGATTATGAGTAAATAATAATATAATAAAAACAATACCATAAAATATAAAGAACAAAGTAAAAAATCACTTGAAATTTTCTTATCCAGAAATGAACATCCTTTAAAATACCTCTATAAGTATACACACTTACTAAATTTTTTATTTATAACTAGTTTTTTTTTCATTCATCAATGTTATAGTGACAGTTTTCCATAAAAATAAATATAGACCTATATCACTACTTTAATGGTTACATTGTATTCCATTTTATGGGTGGTACTGACATAAAAGCAGGCATATAGACCAGTGGAACAGAATAGAGAGCCTAGAAGTAAACCCATGAATACACTGTCGACTGCTCTTTGACAGGGGCACCAAGAACACACAATGGGGAGAGGATAGTCTCTTCAGTAAATGGTGGTGGGAAAACTGGATATCTACATGCAAAAGAATGGAACTGGGCCCACTCACAAAAATTACCTTATACCACTCACAAAAATTAACTCAAAATGGGTTAAAGACTTACATGTAATACCTGAAAACACAAAACTCCTAGAAGAAAACATTGAGAAAAAGCCACTTGACATTGGTCTTGGCAGTAATTTCTTGGATAAGACACCAAAAGCAAAGGCAAAAAAAGCTAAAATAAATAAGTAGGACTACATCAAACCAAAAAGCTTCTGCCCAGCAAAAGAAACAAACAAGAAAAAGAAAAGGCAGTCTATGGAATGGGAGAAAATATTTGCAAATCATATATCTGATCTGGAGTAAATATCCAAAATACGTAATGAACTCATACAACTCAATACCAAAATTCAAATAATGCAATTTAAAAATGTG